TATAAAAGTTTAGAGTTTGATAAAAATGATTGATTTTTTTTGCAACTTACTGTAGTGTGGGATTTCAAAGATTGAATAGCATCTAAGAGGTAATCATATGTTTGATTGATTTTTTTTTCTCTTTTTATTATTAGAGCCAACGTACATCACAATTGATCCACCTGCATGTGGGGAGTTATCAAACTGCACGCTGACAGAGAAGGACTGTGTTTATGGTTTCAAACTTGATCACAATGGTTGTCGAACCTGTCAGTGCAAAAACAGTAAGTCTACAGAAGACTGCATTTTTTTTCTGGGCCTAATATGATACTGTCAAAGCATATTATGTGATTGAATATCTTTTTCATTCCTATTGATGACATTCCTTTAGCAACCTGAAAGAAGAAAAGAAAATTTGTATTTAACACAAACAAATACACAGTCATTTGGGGGCAGAAAGGTGCTCCTTTATTCTCCTTTTCATTTTCACTGTATTCAGATACTACCTGCTGTCCAGCTGCATCATGGGTCTTTGGAATACATATCTTTCCAACCATCCAGTTGGCTCTCTCTCTAACACCATTGCTGGAATCATCCAATGACAATGACAAGGTGGTCACCTGCATAAAGGGTGTCACATACTACATGTGGCAGCCATAATTCTTAGAATGTGCTTCACACTGTTGATCCCAGCTCTCTTCCACATAGATTCCAATCATGTCTCCAGGCTATGACCTCTGAAACTTTAGATAGAGTATATTGCATTGTTTCCGGTGGGGGGGGGGATGAATTGCTCTTCATGTTTAAAATGACTTTGAATCCCCCGATTCTTCTGCTAGAATAAATATCTTCAGTCATGTCAGCCGTTCCACATGTGACATAGTTTTTAGAACTTTCTTGGTCCTTTCCATCTTCCACATGCTTAATAGGTCACTATCTTTGTGTAAATGTCTGGCCCAGAAACAAAATAGAATACTTCAGAATTTCGTCTGATTAGTGCAGTACTACTATTGTATGGCCTAAATTCAGATTAGCTCTTTGAGTTTCACATTTTTGGGTAATACTGAGTTCACAAGTAGACAGTACCACTGGGTGCTTTTTACATCAGCTACTGTTAGGTGGTTCTCCATTCATTCTGTATTTGAATTTTTTTTTAAATGATACAAATATAGGGCCAAATTAAGCAAGAAATTATCCTGAGAGGGTTTCGTTCTTTCTTTCTTTTCTTTTTTCTTTTCTTTTCTTTTCTTTTTTTTTTAAGATTTTACTTATTCATGAGAGACACAGAGAGAGGCAGAGACACATGCAGAGGGAGAGGCAGGATTCCTATAGGGAGTCTGATGCGGAACTCGATCCCAGGATCATGATCTCAGCCAAAGGTAGACACGCTCAACCACTGAGTCACCCAGGTGTTCCTATCTTGAGAGTTTTAAACTATTTCCCAACTACTTGGAATATTTTTGAATCTTGATAATGTGATAAGCATAATTTGCATGTCCTCGTCCAAACTGTTAAACTGAAATAAATTGTACAGAACCAAGGACAGATCCCCATTGCACTAAAGACCTATCTGCACAATGACCCTGAACCATAATCCTCACTCCCTCAGTGAAGCTATTCAGCTAACAACATGTCAGCTCCATCTCTACAAGGGTGTCTTGAGACACTCCATCTGTGTCTCATCTGAAATGAAAACACATTACATTTGCAGCGCTCTTTTGCTGGAAACCCTATTTTAAGCATAAAATGAAGCTAGTGGGGCATGGCTTATTCTTCATGAACCTACACTGGCTACTGCTGGTCATTGCTTTCCTTTCTAAAGCTCATAAATCACATGTTTAACCATTTTCTTCATAGAATTTTCAGTTGTGAATGTCAAGCTTGGTTTCTGTAGTTTGAGAATCCTTTGTCCCTTTTGAATTAACATTTGGTGGCCTCCTTTAGTTTTCAGAAATCTCTTTCCATTCTGTCTGATCTCTCAAATATAAACAACCCTTCTATAATAAGCAGGTTCTCTGTGAGCCTCCGGGTATAATTATCCTGGGCTCAGAGGCTTGGAATTACTTAATGTAGGTAGATGCTTACTTTCTGATTTATCAGTTATCTTGGGCTTTATGTCCTCTTAACCTTAATTGTCCAGCACTTTCTTTTATAAGAATACTCTGATGAAGAAGACAGACACAAAATAGAAGTTGAGTAATTCAGTTTTTTTTCAGTTACATATTACCATCACTCCGCCTGCCTGATGGAGTTGGTGCTAAAACAGAGTTTATAAAACTGCTGTTGTGACTTTGATTGTTTCCGTCTTTAAATGTCCTATAAGCTTCCATGCACTGGGGCTCTCCTGGCTTCATACCTCTTGGAAAGCTGACTTCATTAGGTAGCTGGCATGCCACCCACACATGTTTGCTTAACTGGCCAACTTCGGGTTTTTTGACACCAAGATAATTGGTATTATATTCTGAAGAGTTTATATTTTAATACTTCCCAACTGTCTTGAGCTACACATCTTTCTGATCATGGGAGCATACCTAAATTTTTTCTGGACTTTTTGAAGTCTAAAAATACAGATTTCATTGTGCCTGGTCTCCCCGCCTTCCACCTTCACCTGGGCTTTGCTGTTAGGAACTTTTTCACCACATGATTATGCTTATAGAAGACCCCTGGCACTTCACAAGGATCCCTTTGTAGTTAAGTCCAAAGAAACAATTTTCCTTCAGTTGCCATTGAAGCAAGTCAAAAATGGATCACTGACTTTTTGCAAAGTGAGACTATTAAGGAAAATTCTGTTCTGCCTTTGTGTTTAATGTTCCTCTGGCTTTGTATCAGGAACTTGTATGCATACTACCTGTTGGTGCCTCCACTTCAGTAACATGTGGGAAGGGATATGTACAGAGACAGTTGCTTTTTGTGTCAATGTTTGTTTGGTTTTTTTTTTTACATATAAATCTTTATTGCCTGTTGAATATCTGCAAGTTTTATTTGCAGGGATCTCTGGTCTTCTGCCCTCCTCCTTCCTTTCTTATTTTGCCTCATATAATAGAGCACCTGCTGAGTTCTAGGTACTGTACTAGGTATTCATGCCACAAACATGAATAAAATACAAAATCTCCCCTAAGAAAAAAGTTTCTTGTAACCAGTACACTAATGAAGTATCACCATTTCAAATCAAATTCTGTAATTTACAATTCCTATTTTTTTAAGATTTTATTTATTTGAGTGCAAGAGAGAGAGCGGGAGTGGGATGAGGGGCAGAGGGAGATGCAGACTCCCCAATGAACAGGGAGTCTGATGCAAGGCTCAATTCTGGGACTCTGGGATCATGACCTGAACCGAAGGCAGATGCTTAATCAACTGAGCCATCCAGGCACCCCTTACAAGTCCTATTAAAAGGAAGCTTTGGTCCTGTAAAAGAACCCAGGCACATGCTGACACCAGACGATGTAACTGACCCATTTCCCAGGGTCATGCTAGGCACTCAGCAGATGTTGGTTGAGCTGAATTAGTAAGAAGCCATCAGAATTGGGAATGCCATTGGACATCATTCTTGTTTGAGATCCCCTTCTGTGTTCTTGCCATTCTGACCATGTATGCATTTTATCACACTGAGATTCTTGACCTGGGTTAATCTTTTGCCATGTCACTTGCTGCCACCATATACCTAAGTACATAATTAAACACCAAGTAGCATTTGTCAGTTTGTCTGTATCATACAGAAGTCTGGTCATAGAGCATTCTGCTCTCACTCCCATCTATTAGCAATCCTGACACCTTTGAAAGCCACACCTTTAGAAGGTGAGTAAAGCAAGCTTCCAGATCCTTAGCTGTCAGATCCCTGTCACTGTACATACCTAGCTCTCTTCCTAGGCTCTGGCTGCAGACTAACCTGCATCTAGCTCATTGAGGCAAGTTGCTTTACTACTCTGGGCCTCTGTGTCCTCATCTGTAAAGGGCAAATAATAATGCCTAACTAATGGGTTATTCTGAGGACAAAATTAATGAATGCAAAGCTAGCTTTACTAGCTGACATAGGATAATTATTACTCTGTTTACAGAAAATGATAGCTGTTTTATAACACATCCATTTCTGAGTCAGCTCAAGCTGGCTGTTATGGAAAGCCCCCAGCTTCCCCTCCTTTGTTACAACACAAACCTGCCTCTGGTTCTTCCTGTCCTCCAAGGACCCTCACACAAACAATTTTCCTTTTACCTTTTCATTTTAATCATCAAATATTCCTGTTCTCTTTCACCTGGTTTTAGAAAAAGCAAACCTCCTTGTACTAAAAGATGGCATAAGTATGTTCTCTTTCCCATTGCAGCTACTTGATAAGTACTGAGTTTGTCTAAATTTTGCATCCAGCCAGAGCCCATTTCACAAATGCAGTGGCCCTAACCATACATACCTCAGTTTTCTGTTAGGGATTAGACCTTTTTTAAATAGACCACTGGCATCAGGATTTTTTAAAATAAGACCAGTGCCCAATAAATATTTCTCCCTGTTCATTGCTTTGTTGTTCATTCTTTTTTCATTTAGCATTTATTGACTGCCTACCATATGCCACAAACTAGGGATATGAAAAAGACAAAAATGGACTTTATCCTCGACTAGCATTGGTAGCATGTCAGTATGCTGTCATGATATTGCAGTAGAACCAAGCATATTCTACACAACCACTTTAAGATTGAAATCAAAACCCAGTGTTGAGGACTCCTTCAAAAACCACATGGAAGGTATAAGACAAAATATTCTTTTTTGTGAACACACTGTAGCTTTGCTATTTTAACCTGTAACAAGTAACATAACACTGCTCAGCAAAGTAATGCATCAGAGGCATACAGAGAATTTAAATTATTTCTGACTCATTTTCTCATATTTAGAATAAAGAAAACAAATATGGAGGAAGATGTTTAAGTACAACAGCTACAGAAGTTAAAACTAAAATCATTTAGGTATGCTGTTAGTAACCTAACACTTTCTCAGTGTAAACTATTAATAATATTATTTTTTAGCCAAAAATGTTAGCTTTGCACAGTGGCAGTATCGTAGCCAATGAGGTTTATCCGAGGCACGATTATTGCTAATTGAAAACTTAACCAAAAATGTTTGTTGCTGTCAGATAGACATACTACACTTTGGCTTACTATAATGAACTATCTGTAGTAAATGACATCAATGAATTAAATGCTGTCCATCTCTTGGCAGCTTATTTTCTACACCTTTAAATCAAGAGGATTTGACTGGATTATTTTTAGCTTCTCTTCCAGTTTTAACATTCTGTAATTCTAGGAATTAATGTTTTTATTTAGAAACTGATGCAGGCATAGGAAATTAATGGTAGCAATAAGAAAAAGCCATCCTATTTTTAATGAAATATACGTATATGAATCAAGCATCTAAAGAAGGTTGCAGCATCAGATACAGGCAAACAGGCTCCATGTTTTCATAACTCAGAACTAAAGGAATAACTAAAGCCCAAAGTCAAGATTGGGACAAGCATTTGTAGTGTTGCATTTCTTTATTTAATAGTCTTAGTACCTTCCTGGTGTTTTTAACTGGGAAATGCCAGTGTCCAAGAGTGTGAAGGGTGCAGCAGAAGTGCGATGCAGCCCCAAGGGACATGGTCACATTGTGTTCCATTTGCAGTTACATGGTACTCGCTTAGACTAAAGTACCAATATAGTTGTGTCATATTTTGGCCTTGGGAGCAAACAACACTTTTTCTCTAGAGTAAACAGAGAGTTACTACAAAACTATCAACCAACTATGCTGCACAGGCCTTGTACTTTGCAATTATTTATCACTTTCTCTTCAGTGGTAATTCTCCCCTAAGATTAGAGAGCATTTTTAGATTGCAGTAAAGTCATAATGCTGAAAAATTATGAACACAAGGTCACCATTCTTTTATGCTGCCTCATGTGATGTACTAAAGGTTTTCAGACAAACTTATAAACCCCCACCCACCTATAAAAAAGATATTTTTACTTTGTTCTGCTCTTGATGTAAACACCTGAATTAATGATACATTTATAGTAAGAAAAGTCTGTAATTGATATCGGGATCTAGGACCAAAAGGCTTTAATATCCTTTCTTTCTGAGTTAGAAGATGGTATTTTGAGATGTTTAGTTAAGTGCCAGTATTTTAGAAGATTCTAAATACTAGCAAAGTAAGTTTTTTTCATCTTGTTATTTTTTCTCTTACTATGGCAGCCTCGATGAGAGTGGAGGAGTAAATAGCAAGAACATTGATTGCTTTGTTCATTCAGCAAATGTTTATTGAACATTCACTCCACGGTAGCACCTAGGCTGTATAAATAAAGAAAATAAGGCCCTACTCTAGAGCCCCCTTCTGATGGCAAACAGAATGGAGACAAGCCCGCAGCAGGCCAAGCGGTACCAAGCCAGGAAAACATTAGAGCATCCTGCCCTAGGTGGCATAGCTTATCTCCTGTCCTGAGTACCCTCTCATTTGTTTAAAGGTTAGCAGCCTTTGTTTGAAATTCCCTTCCATTGCAAAATAGAGTAGTTCCAGACAAATGTAGCTTTTATTAGTTTGTTTCAACTTGGTAACAACTGTCTTTAAGAGTGAAAACCCTTCTAGATTGAAGTCTGTGGAAAAACAGCTTTTTGATAGGGCCAGAAAAATAAAGGCACAAAAGTGCTCAGACTCAAAAAGTTTGAAGGAATTGAATCCCCAGGGATGCTGACTTTGGGGTGTTGTCAGAGTGTTTTTATCTTCTGTTTCCCAACATAATCTGCTTGGTGTTGTGAGTTAAAAATTAATGGAATAGAAAAATGGGTTCACAACTTCGATTTCAGTGTCAGAGAAAGAAATGTGGCTCTGTCTTCTCCCTCCTTTATCATCCCTTAAGGATGGAAAGAGATGAAAACTGATGACCTTTCAAGTCCTATAATTACAAATTTTTAAATGAGCCATTTAGAATTTCTCTTTTAAGGATGCAAATTAGTAATCATTTGCTTCGCAGTGTGATACAGACCCACAGGGTTATATTAAATATGTGTAATGAAAGGTTTATGATCAGGACAAAGTAGAAAATTATACCGTAAATCACATTTTCCTCTTTAAAAGATAGCAAATTAAATATTGGTGTATTGCCAGCTAAGATTCACAAAAGATGGTATCTTAAAATATTTATGTAAAACCTGAACCCTTCCCATCTATTAATTATAGTTCAAGGTTTAATTTTAGATTATAAGATTTGCGTGTGGAGGGGACATGTGTTCTGTTTTTCTGGGTAACGTATGCATTATTTACAATATTTATGCTTTTAAGGGTGGCCAAATAAAATATAGATTCATTTATTATTCCGACAAAAATAGTCTCTGCTTCCCATCTTGCCAGTCTTTGCAGAGTAGTTATCAAACATTGCTGTACTTTTGCCATCACTGTGTCAGCTTCTTTAAATTTGACTGACTTTCAGACTCCGCATTCAGTACAGACAGCCTCAGGTTGCTTTAGCATACCACCAAGCATGCTTTTCTTACTTAAACATTTGTGTTCCTTACATTACTCTGTTAATTCCTACCTCACACCTTTTGAAATCTTTCTAGAAGACTCTTACAAAGCTAATATCTCTATTAGTTCCTTTTGCCCACCACCATAGCTTCTTCCCCTTCTTTTTTGAAATTCTAAAATAATATTACTAACAGAGGATGGTTAAACATCTTTCCAAATTCTGCTAACAGAGGAGAGTTAGAACATTTCAAATAGTGGATAAACATTAATTAGACATTTTTAGCACATACACTTTTGAGTCAATTAAGTTTATCCAAAGATATGGATATCTGTCAGTTGGAGAGAAAAAATATCTAAATGAAACAATATTTCACTTTATATCATGTTATTAGACTTGTTTCTTTCTTTTTTTTTAAACGTTTTCTTTTTTTTTTTTTAATTTTATTTATGATAGTCACACACACAGAGAGAGAGAGAGAGAGAGAGGCAGAGACATAGGCAGAGGGAGAAGCAGGCTCCATGCACCGGGAGCCCGACGTGGGATTTGATCCTGGGTCTCCAGGATCATGCCCCAGGCCAAAGGCAGGCGCTAAACCGCTGCGCCACCCAGGGATCCCAGACTTGTTTCTTTTTAAAGAAAGGGTATAAAATCCTTTAGGCTGCATATAATATACAGTATTATAGGATAATATCTAAAGCTCCTAAGAGAAAACATTGTGTGAACACTTAGGAATGTGTGTTACTGTGAGCATTTAGTAGGAGTAAAATGTATAATGAAGTTTGGGTGTAAGTTTCTAGTTCTCATATTTTTACACTAAATGGTAATCAGTAGTTTGAGGAACTCATAAGAACAAATCTCATGGAAAAATAGCACTCAATTTTCATCCACATCTCAAATAGTAGTTACTAGCATGCTCTAGCACCAGATTGGAATACACTTCAGAAATCTATTTTTCTGGGCATTCTTTTCTGTATTAGTACCAAGACGTGAAGTTACATTGTGATAACCGTGGAATGGTGCCTCTATAATTTTTAAGCATTCCTAATGCTGTGGTACAGGTAAGAAATTTCCATCTGTGGAAGAGGATCGGGAGATTAGGGGGAAGCATGGAAGTGTCAGGATATTCATCAGCACCTTATGCTCCCTGCCTGTCTTCACAGGGGAGGAGCTGTGCTCAGGCCTCAAGCGAGGCTGTACTTTGGACTGCCCCTTCGGCTTCCTGACTGATGCCCACAACTGTGAGATCTGTCAGTGCCGCCCACGGCCCAAGAAATGCAGACCTGTAATCTGTGACAAGTATTGTCCATTTGGATATCTGTAAGTATTTCTTAATTCAGAAGATCTGTTCTTAATTATCTGTAAGTTAATGAAACGTCCATACTTATTTTTGTTAGCTGTTTTGTGTCTGTGTGTGTGTGAATGGATCAATGATGCACTGAATCCAGAGTATCTATGCTTGCTTTGTTCAGTGAATGAGAGAGCAGCAAAAGGAGGGTGTCTCCAAAGATAAAGATTCAGTGCTACTCTTACTCTTTTGTTAAGATGGACCAAAGCCTTGATTATACCACCGTCCTTTGAGCCTTTCTGTGAGACTTCCTCATTGCAAAGGCCTTTGGACACTGCTGGGGGGCATGGAATTGTCATGAGATCCTAGTACTGTATGTGCCACAACTCTTCATAACTGTCCCAGTGACTGTTTAGTGATGATTTCTTTAGTGTGTACTTCAAGATCACTGGACAGCCACTTATTGGCAACATGGAGCATGCTTGCTTGCCATGCCTCAATATCTTATCTTGGTGCTGGTCTATAGTTTATAATATTTTTTCTTCACGTAGTAGTACATTTTATAGATTTCCTTAGAGATAAGAACCATGACTTTTATTTTCAAAAATTTCTTCATTGAGCCAGACTCCATGAAAATCTAGATTATTCCAGGGGGACAAAGTACTTGACATTTGTTTAGTGTCTCTATTAACATCTATTTCTGCCTTTGTATTAACTTGGTTCCTCCAAAAAAATACCTTTCATCATCTTGCCTATCATTTTTTCCTTAAAGATTTATTTTAGAGAGAGAGAGAGAGCACCTGCACAGGTGGGGGGAGGGGCAAATGAAGATTTATTTATTTATTTGAGAGAGGGAGAGAGAGGCAGGCAGCAATGGGGGAAGGGCAGAGGGAGAGGGACAACTCTCAAGTGGACTCCCTGCTGATCACAGAGCCTGATATGGGACTCAGTCTCATGACCCTGAGATCATGACTTGAACCGAAATCAAGAGTTAGATGCTTAACTAAGCCACCCAGGCGCCCCATCCGCCTTTCCAATTTTTAATATATTTGTGTAGTACTAGTAATTATAAGGGACTTAGATTCATCATCTCTTGCCTACCATTGTAAAGTTACCATTTTTTATGGCTCCTCTTAGGAATTCTAGTTTAGCAGGGATAGGGGAATAAATTGGGAACACTCACTCTCCTTTAACAGGTCGCCAAATTAACAAACTGTCACTGTTCTTAATCCTAAAATATGACTGTGATAGCCAATAAAAATATTATTTCTCAGCTTTATTCCTAATATACAATAAAGTATTATTATCATCATAGTGACTATAACTGCCTGCTGCAGTATTATAACAGCTCAGAATCAAGGCTGAATTCAAGTCCAGCCTTCACCTTGGAGAGAAGTCTCT